AAATGCAAATTACAATAAAATAAATGACATATACAGTAAACAAGATACACAAAACATAAAAAAGCAGTAAACCAAACATACCAACAGTGAGCAGGCCGCATGTACATAAAATGAATTAAAACTCAGGGTGAGATAATAATTCAGAATACTTTCCCCTGCTTTGAGTAAAAGATCACTTGGTGCTGAACTATAGCCCATGCTTGAGCATTGAATTCCGACTCTGAAGAATGTGGTTTGAATCCCCATTCAGCCATGAAAACACATGGTAATTCACACACATTTAGTCAGAAAAAAACCCATGATGGGCTTATTTTAGGGCCCATCTACACTACCCTATATTCCAGGATCCAATCCCAGATTATCTGCTTTGAACTGGATTATATGAGACTACACTGCCAGATAACCTGTAGAAGGGGCTTTAGGGTTACTACAAATCAGGAATACATAACCTGAAGGTAAACAAAAACAACAATAACATCTTAGCAGGCAGACACATGGACCATCACAATATTCCTGATAATGATAATGTTCCACCAGCTGCAGCCTGCTTGCCAGATATCCAACGATGCAGGGTGAGGCACATCAAATCTACCGAAATACAGAGAACTCCATGCTTCCTCATCTGCTTCTGCCTTCTTTCAGGAATTCTCCCAGAGCTACTTAGCAAAGAAAGCTCTTGGAAGAGCTTACATGGAAGAGGTCCAGGACTTCTTCATCCATCACCTGCCCTTCTCCTGAATCGTGGGAACTTTTACTCCATCTGCCAAACTGAAACTGCTGAACCAGGAAAGTTAGGAAAGCTTAGCTGTGACAAAATGTTGTGCAATAGCCTTTTTAGTCCTCTATGGTGCTCTCCGGTCCCTTTTAGCCTAAGAAATGTTTATATAAAATAAATATTAAAATTTTATTTATTCATTTTGTATCAAAAGCATTGCATAAACAAGTATAAAACTGATAAAAATTGAAGGAACATAATTGGTTAAATAATTTTTGACCAAAAACAGGCAACAATGACTGCATTGTCTGTACCTTTAAACAATTCTTCCTCTGTGCAGGAGGCAGGGCATTGTGGACAAGCATACAGATGCTGAGTTGTTTGTTCTGCTCTACTGTCACACAAAGTGGATCAGGCATTTACTGATAACAAATCAGCATTTGTAAGGCTTGCTAAGTAAGTTGATTTTCCTTTCTATGAATTACAGCTGAAGCATCTTCTGCAGCATCTACCTTAAACACGTGTCCGAACGTTTCTTCTGGTACGAACCATTATGAAACTTAAGATCATCTAGAGAGGCCCTGATTTTGACCCTACCGACAGCGCAAACGCAATTGGTGGGGAGAGGGACAGGGCCTTCTCATCAGTGGCCTCCTGCCTGTGAAACCCTCTCCTCAGAGACATCAGAATGGCCACCTCCCTCCTGTCTTTTAGAAGAAAAATCAAGACCTGGCTTTGGGTCCAAGCATTCAATTAGTGAGCAGCAAGTAAAAGCAGATTGTAATGATTTGACTTGGACTGGATTTTAGACTCTGATTTTAATAGGAGTGTGTTTAATTATTGTTTTAATATTTTTAATATTTTAATGTATTGTTGATTGTTTTAGTATGATCACACCGTATGGTGGTTGTGAGGCCACCCTGAGTCCCCTATCAGGGGTGAGAAGGGCAGGGTATAAATATAGGAAATAAATAAACAAACACTGCACAACAGATTTGTGTAAATGTCTAACAAAGACACTATGTGATATTCGAAAAGCTTAACTGTAAAGATATATCACCAAACACTGAAGTGAGGAAGGTTCTTGTCAACGTATTCTCCAGTTCTGTAGATAGTTGGGAAGGCTGGACAGGGAATAAACTCCCATGATTCCAAAGCCATAGCAATTAAAAGAACATTAATCAGCATTATTTCTATGATGTAGATCAGGTATGGGCAAACTTAAGCAGTTGAGGGGGGGATAGGAAAGAGCCTGAGGCTGTTAGGAATGGTGGGAGTTGAAGTCCAAAATATCTGGAGGGCCCAAGCTGGCCCATGCCTTGTTTAGATGCACCCAACGTGGTATCAAAGTGCATTAATTCTTCAGTGTACTTATGCGATCCCTTGTAGTCCAAGGATGATGGTCCTCCAAGTTCGGTGTCCTGGTGGTTGGTCCGTAGGTGGCTGTGGAGCCCTATTCTTGCTCTGCATCTTCTCCCACAGTGAGGGCATTGGTTTCCAGGTGGAAGGCGGTCTCGGTCGGGGTTGGCTTGACGCGCCTTCCTCTTGGCACGTTTCTCTCTTTCACCCTCCATTCGTGCCTCTTCAAATTCTGCAGCACTGCTGGTCACAGCTGACCTCCAGCTGGAGCTCTCAAGGGCCAGGGCTTCCCAGTTCTCAGTGTCTATGCCAGAGTTTTTAAGGTTGGCTTTGAGCCCATCTTTAAATCTCTTTTCCTGCCCACCAACATTCCGTTTTTCGTTCTTAAGTTCGGAGTAGAGCAACTGCTTTGGGACGGTGGTCGGGCATCCGGACAATGGGGCTGGGAGTTGTGGGAGGACCATCGCTTCAATGCTGGTGGTCTTTGCTTCTTCCAGCACACTGACGTTTGTCCATTTGTCTTCCCAAGAGATTTGCAGGATTTTCCGGAGGCAGCGCTGATGGAATTGTTCCAGGAGTTGCGTGTGACGCCTGTAGACAGTCCACATTTTGCAGGCATATAGCAGGGTTGGGAGGGCAGGTGCTTGTCTTCAGTGTAGATGCACCAGTGTCATTGTAAACAGAGGCTGGATGGCCATCTGTCGGGGGTGCTTTGAATGCGATTTTCCTGCTTCTTGACAAGGGGTTGGACTGAGCGGCCCACAAGGTCTCTTCCAACTCAGTTATTCTATGATTCTATGATTCGACCCCTAGTCTTCTTCTGATTTTGTGACTCTACTCTCCACTCTGATCCCTGTCTGAGCCAAGGTGTGCTATTCCTACTCCATTCCCTACCACCATTTGCCAACCTGAAAGGCTGCCATGACACACACCTTCTCAGAAAGATGCAGCTCGATTGAATCAGCCCAAGCCAAAGCTCATCAGGGCTGCATTTACACTGTAAAATGAATGCAGATGGACACAAATTTGGTTGCCATGGCTCAATGCTATGGGGTTCTGTAGTTTGGCGAAGTTTCTGCACTCTCTGGCAGAGAAGGCTAAAGATCTTTCAAATTTACAACTCCTATGATATCATAGCACTGAGCCATGGCTGTTAAAGTGATATCAAAAGTGCACTGTGTAGATGCAGCTCAGAAGAGTGCAGCATTCAATGCTTGTTTGAAAGGATGCTCCGCCCTCAAAGAAAACATGAGCTGGGCATTTCTCCAGCTCCTCTCCCTCATTTGCAAAGGCTGGGCTGGGGCTTATATAACAGGCGTCTTGCCGTGACTCAGCCAAAGTGTGCATCGCTGTGGTTGTTTCAGCTACTGGTGGGTTTCCTGCCAGGCTTTGGACGAGAGAAGAGCCATGGCTAAGTTCGTGCAGCTGTACACCAAGGCCAAGATGCCCATTGTGGGGCTGGGCACCTGGAAGGTAGGCACTGGCAAGACAGCTCTGTTGCCGATAGGCTGTTAGGAATGGTGGGAATTGAAGTCCAAAACATCTGGAGGGCCAAAGTTTGCCCATGCCTATTCTAGCTTCTTTTCCTTAGTATGCCACTGTATACAATGGCAAAAAAAAAATGGCCTGCCCAGAGTGGTTTTCCACCACGGAACCTCCCTTAAAATGAGCAGCGTAGTACTCCCTGGACCTGTGCCAGGTACTTGCATGTTCACGTTTATTTTGAATCTGCTTGTTCTCTTTTTTCCATGCCTTAAGACAGGATATTGTGCTTCGTTATATCATTTGAAAACTGCTGTGTGTACTTCAAAATATAGAGTTGGAAAGGACCATTTGCAGCAAACTATAGGTTTAATTGAATTTTTAATTTAATTTCTAAACCAAAAATGTGTGTGTGTGCGTGCACATCTTCACTGTTAAATTAATGCAGTTCAACACTATTTTAACTGCCATGGCTCAATGCTATGGATTCCCAGGAGTTGTAGATTTACAAGATCTTTCGCCTTCCACGCCAAAGTACAAATCCCACGATTCTATGGCATTGAGCCACGGCATTTAAAGTGGTGCCAAATTGTATTAATTCTATAGTGTAGATACCCACTCTGCATTGCTCTCACTCATTCTTTATCTATTTTTGGATGACAAATTAAGAGTACCTGTGGTTGCATAATGTGACGCAGCTGGTTGGGAGCCAGCTGTATTAATATCACTACTGACCAAAAGGTCATGAGTTCAAAGCCAGCCCAGGTCAGAGTAAGCTCCCAACTGTTTATCTAGCTTGCTATCGACCTTTGCAGCCTGAAAGACAGTTACATCTGTCAAGTAGGAAATTTCGGTACCGCTTATGCGGGTAGGCTAATTTAACAAATTTACGACACTATAAAAATCTCCAGCAACATGCATAAGAATGAGGAAGTACTCCATCGGTGTCACAAGTGGATGGTGAAGCGATAGCTCCCCCTGTGGCCAGAATCAAGCATACCCTCATGAAGCTGGAAGGTTAAATAGCCTCTGTGTGTCTGTCTATATATGTTGTGTGCCTATGGCATTGAATGTTTGCCATGTATATGTGCATTATGATCCACAATGAGTCCCCTGCAAGGTGAGAAGGGTAGAATATAAATACTGTAAATAAATAAAATAAATTGCATAACACTTAATTACATCACCTGGAATTGTCTTTGGGTCTTGAGTTTAGGCCCAGAACCTCAGGACCTGAGATGATCCTGAAGTGACAACATTAATGCGGTATCATGCCTAGTGAAACAGGCATGCCTAGTGGTTTTTTTCAAAATTAGAAAAAAACTTTTTAAAAAACTTACCTGCTTCTAAAGGTCTAGAATTGCAGCCTGTTGGCTTGAGGTGTCATGGCAAACTTTAGATTTGTAATAACATAATGGCTAAATTCTGCAAATGGATCCTAGAGCAAATCAAGCCTGAACTGTCCCTAGAAGCCAAGATTACCTAAGCCAAGCTATCATAGCTGAGATATATCATTAGAAGATACAACTCAGGAGAAAAGGTAATAATGCTTGGTAAGATAAAAGACAGTAAAGATAGTGTGGAAAAGATGGAAAGGCTCACTTGAGAAAGCCAGAGTTTGCAAGACCTGAGCAGGGTTGTTGATAATAGGGTCTCTCATTCAGGGGAGGTCACCATTAGGATTCATATCTCTAACCAGCCATGAAAACCCACTGGACAAGTTACACACTTTCAGAAAGCCCTGTAATAGGGTTGCCATAGGTCCACACTAAGCCAGAAACAACTTGAAGGCACACAACCACAACAAAGTGGAAGTGGAATACAACTACACTGCACTCTACAGTCAGCTATGTCATCTTGGATTTGTTTGTTATGAAAACCTTTAGTTCCCTTAATCTCAAAGGTTAACCTTCCGTTAAGGAGTGGTCATGAGATAATTGCATCTGTTGTTCATATATTAATCACTCTTATCCATTGTGGGGTGGAACAACGGACCAGTGCAATACTTGAAAGGTTGCTATAATTTGAAAGTTCAGAGGGAAACATGGAAAATATGAACTGGAGAGATGATCCAGTCACAAAGAAGGATCAGTGTTGGTGGAAGTCTTTCAGGAAGAATTAACTGCCATCACGACTCTTAAGAGGCCCCAAATGTAGGCATGGGCAAACTTTCTAACTTGAAGACCGCATGCTAGCACTCCCTGCTAGAAGAATTAGAAGGAAGGGAAGGAGGAAAGAAAGAGAGAAGGAAGGAAGGATGAAAGAGAGGAAGGGAAAGAGGAGAGATGGCAGGAGGGAGGATAGAGGTAAGGAAGGAAAGACAACAGGAAAGGAAGGATGAAAAGGTGGAAGGGAAGGATGGAAGGAAGGAAGGGAAGGAGGAAGGAAAAAGTGGAGGAAGGAAAAGAGGAAGAGAAAGGTGGAAGGAAGGAAGGAAGGAAGGAAGGAAGGAAGGAAGGAAGGAAGGAAGGAAGGAAGGAAGGAAGGAAGGAAGGGAAGGATAAAGGAAAGAGAGAAGGGGGAAGGGGAAGGAAGGAGAAAGAGGGAGAGAGGGAGGAAAGAGGCAAGGAAGGAAGGACCAAAAGGTGGAAGGGAAGGATGGAAAYAGAAAGAGGGAGGAAGATAAGGAGGAAGGAAAGACAAAAGGGAGGGAAGGACGAAAGGGGGAAGGAAGAGAACGAGGAAGGAAAGACAAAAGGGAGGGAAGGACAAAAGGGTGGAAGGAAGGGATGGGAAAGGGAGGAAGGAAGGAAGGAAGGAAGGAAGGAAGGAAGGAAGGAAGGAAGGAAGGAAGGAAGGACGGACGGACAAGAGGGTGGAAGGGAATGGAGGGAGAGAGAAAGAGGGAGTAGAGGGAGGAAAGAGAGAAGGAAAGACAAAAAGGAAGGGAGGAAGGAGAGAGGAAAATAAGGGGAAAAAAGGATGGAAAGGAAACAAGGAGGGAGGATGAAAGAATGAAGTAAGTAAGGGAGGGAGGGAGGGAGGACGAAAGGGTGGAAGGGAAGGAGGAAGAGGGGGAAGAGGGGAGGAAGGAAAGGGGGAAAGAAGGAACGATAGGATGGTGAGGGAGAGGAGGGCCTGAGAAAAGAGCGCAAGGGACTCTACCCAGCCCTCGGGCCTGGGTTTACCCATACTTCCCCAAATGGAGTTCCTGAAAGTTATGAAAACCATTAAAACCCATTGATTCCTTGACAGCTCCCCCACCCACCCATTTCTAGTGACAAGGTATTTTTTTCTCATCACATTCCAAGTGAGGCACATAGCAGAAGCTCTATTCATTCTTCTAGCAGAAAATCCATGTGCCAGGACAGTATTTGTTTTTCATGTTTTTCTGTTGGTAGTTCTTAATACGAGTAATACTGTGTTGTCTAAATTGGCCATGTGGCCAAGATAAGCAGTGGATTTAAAGTGTCATGGGAAAATAGACATTTGTTTGGTTTTTTTTTTACTTTCTAATTCTTTTCAGATAAATATTGCAGTATTTAGATTTAAAGGCTGATGTTTCTGGAGATCCTCAACCAAACTGATTTGCGAATTATTTACCATTTTATTTTTCCTATTTAGCCAGATGTCTTGAGACATAGAAATGGTGGTCTGGTTGATTTTGCAGGCTCGTGACATCTCCAAGTTCCTCTATATTTCATTTCTAACCTGTTTCTCTTGTATCTGAATGGAAAAGCATTAGGGTGGAGAAAATAACTATGGTGTACAGATAGGAAAGCTTACAAGCCAGTGTTTCTAAACCATGAATAAATCCTAATTTAAAGTCCTTCCTTTATAAAAAGTTGCAGCAAACCTAGTTATTGTTCAGACAACTTCCTTTATTGTGTATATACAGCCTCTTGCATTAGGGAAGGAGGCCAAAAAGAAGTGAATGGGATGCCTGTACCAGCATGAAACTCATTGGCAGTGGATTCCTTTAGCTTTGAGTAACTGGGGTGGTGACAGCCGACAGGGAGCACTGGCGTGGGCTGGTCCATGAGGTCACGAAGAGTCAGAGACGACTGAACGAATGAACAACAACTGTGTCAAAGAAGCAGAGCTATTGAAAAAAAAGAATGCAATAACGTATAGAGGGTTTTCTAATGCATTCTGTTACAAGTATTCCCTAACAGAGTGTGGGTTTATCTTACGAACATTTGTGGCAAAGACAACTTGAACTGACTGTACTTTTGGGCAAAATAAACTCCAACTGGAACATGTAAGAATGTTTTGATTTGTCTTTTCCTACTGAAAGGCTGCTGTTCAGATCACTTGTCCTTTACGGTCTAATAATAATAATAAATAATAATAAAACTTTATTTATACCCCGTTACCATCTCCCCAAGGGACTCGGTGCGGCTTACATGAGGCCGAACCCACAGCACATCAATACAAAAGCAATAACAAACAAGCAATACAAAACAGTTAAAATAAATGTCATAAACAAAAAGCAATAAACATTAACAGTAACACAAGAACATTTAAAACCTATGGCTGGGCCAAATGTAATAATTGTGCCGTCACACCCAGATGCTATAACGTTAAAACTAAGATGTGCTTCTCTCTTTATCGGGGTGAACTGCTGGGGGTCTTTCTTTGAAGAAATAACTCAATACTTTCAGCAACTGATGCCAGTCAAGATATGAACATCAAGAAAATATTTATTTCCAAAGTCCTTGGCAGACTTGGCACAGCTTGATAAAGTTACAACACAAACAGTCAATTTGAGAAACCATAGAGATGTTCTTTCTTTCCCCTTTTCTTCAATCACTGAGGTAACCTTTCTTAATAACTCAATAACTATTTCTCTCTATTTCTCAATAACTCAATTACTCAGTTACTATCTCAATATCTTAATATTTCTCTCTGTATAACACAATAGCTTTCTTCAATAACTATAGTATCTCAATAAGCTTGTCTTTATCTCAGTTGCCTTTCTTAGTTACTCAATAGCTCAATTGCTCAATTCCTATTCTATCTATCTATAACTCAATTGCTCAGTTGCTCATTTCCTATTCTCTCTCTCTCCTAACTCAATAGTTCAATTGCTCAATTCCTATTCTATCTGTCTGTTCCGTCTTCCAGGAGCATAGTTTGCATTGCCTTTTAGGATAGTGTTCCTTTCCATTTCCCCAGGGCTGCCATTTCCCCAGGGCTGCTACAGACCCAGCAGCACCCTGGAAGTTAAACAGGATCAGAGTTTGCAAAGCCAGACTGCAGGCCCTCTGCAGTTATTGGTTTAGAAAGTATCTCTTTGGGTGTAGAGACCACCCTTTATCCAGGGGATGAGATCTCCATTTTGGAATCTCCCTGCCTCCTTCAGTAGAGAAAGAAAGCTTCCGATGTGCTGTTGGTCAGCTAGGTAGCTCTGAAAAAATCATTGTAAGTACGATTGAGATAGTGATTGAGTTATATAGATAAAGAAGCTAATTGAGATAGATAGCAATTTTTTTTTGTTGTGTCAGGAGCAACTTGAGAAACTGCAAGTCGCTTCTGGTGTGAGAGAATTGACCGTCTGCAAAGACGTTGCCCAGGGGACGCCTGGATGATTTGATGTTTTTTATCATCCTTGTGGGAGGCTTCTCTCATGTCCCCGCATGAGGAGCTGGAGTTGATAGAGGGAGCTCATCCACCTCTCCCCGGATTCGAACCTGTGACCTGTTGGTCTTCAGTCCTGCTGGCACAGGGGTTTAACCCACTGCTCCACCGGGGGCTTCACAGATAGCAATTGAGTTCCATATCTATAGCTCAAGGTTAGCTTTGGAGATGAAGTACTGCTCAATAATATTCAATAACTTTTCTATAACTCAGATAGCAATTGAGTTATAGAAAAGTTATTGAATATTATTGAGCAGTACTTCACCTCCAAAGCTAACCTTGAGCTATAGATAGGGAAAAACCTGTTTTTCTAACCATAGCAGCTCAGGGTTAGGGTGAAAGGATCCCAGGATATTTTCTACCTTTTAGGGAAGAGTTACCTCAGTAACTGCAGAAAAAAGAAAGATCATCTCTATGGTTTCACCAATTGACTGTTTTGTTTGTAACTTTGACAAGCTGTGCCAAGTCTGCAAGGACTTTGAGAAATAAATATTCTGTTTTGGTGTTCAAAACCTGTAGTAGCCTCAGTTGCTAGGAAGCTCAAGCTTCTAAAGAAAGACCCCCGCGGTCTGCCCAGACAAGAGAGAAGCACATCTTAGTTCTATTTTTATAGGGTCTGGGTGTGATGGCACACTATCTATAACTCAATTGCTCAATTCCTATTCTATCTATAACTCAATTGCTCAATTCCTATTCTATCTATCTATCTATCTATCTATCTATCTATCTATCTATCTATAACTCAATTGTACTCACAATGGGTTTTTCAGAGCTCCCTGCCTGACCAACAGCACATCTGAGGTTCTTTTCTCTACTAAAAGAGGCAGGGGAGATCTCAATCCCAGGAAAAAGGGCGGACTCCAAACCCAAAGTGATATTTTCTAAACCAATAACTGCAGTGGGCCTGCAGCCTGGCTTTCCAGACTCTGATACTGTTTAACTTCCAGGGTGCTCCTGGATCTTTAGCAACCCTGGGGAAATGCAAAGGAATGCTATCCCATGCAGCTAAAAGGCAACATAAACCATGCTCCTGGAAGACGGAACAATAATTACAATTTTAAAAATTCAGGTAGTTGAAACTGAAAAAAATAGAAGCAAGGCACTCCTTATCTCCAGCTGCCCTTAATGTTTCCTTATCTAATTTATACTCCACATTACACTCCAGTAATGATTCAGATTAGCTGGTTGTATTTGTACAGTTACTTTCCATGCATCAAGAAGTCAAACCATGGTTGGAAGTTGATTTGTTGTATACTTTGGATTTTGATAGGGTTTACATTGCATGTGTTTACTGGACTTCTTTCACTTCTCTTTGATATTTTTGTGTTTACAAAGCAGGATGTTGTTTGGCATTGTGCTGTCACGCGCTGGCCCTATAGCAATTGGCTTTTGAACAGGACGTGCTCTTTGTGCCCAGCGGGAAGCCAGGGTGCCTCAGCTGAGAGGCTGTAAGGATTTTCCTATGCAAAAGTCTTTAGAAGCTTGAAAAGTTCAACAAAGTCCTTTATTATTGCTTAGGTCTTCAACAAAACAATCAAATGCTTCTCAGATCTTCAACAGGTCAAACAAATACTTAAAAGCTTTGAATCAACTGGTGGCTTTCTTAATCTTGTCCACAAGGGACAGGCAACTGGCTTCGTGAACTGTTTCTTTAACTGTTTTTTTTTTCTTTAAGAGGAAAACCCTTTTTAATCCCTCCTTGGGCAATCTGTATTTAGGTTTTGCTGGCGTGGGGCCCCTACACCCGGTTCCAATTTGTGTTATGGCTGCCACGAGAGGTCCTTACCAGGCCAAAGTCTCTGTGTAGATTCTCCAACTGGAGTCCTTTGGAACTGTTTTACCCCTGAATTTCGTAAGAAACAAAGCTTCTCTACAGGTGAAGCTGATTCACGTCCTGTAGCTAAGTTTTCAACTGTAAGACTGAGCTAAAATGGCTCCCTTTCCTTCCTGAACCCTGGGGAAAGGGGCGTAACTAAAGAACATAATGATGATAGGCAGGTGGCAGGCCCCATAACTGCAGCCTAAAAGGAACCACCCAACTGCAAAAGGCATGGCCAAATCAAACACAAGCAATTAACCATGCAAAGAAAGGAAATTTGAGCTTCTGGTACAGCCGTACCAGCACAGGCGTGGTAAGCTGAATAGTTTGAGACTATTTAAAATTTCATATGGAGCTAATACAACAAATCATGGTGGCTACTTCCCAGAATTTAGCACAGTGTTATCATATTATTTCAGTATTATGACTATTGCCATACATGATATTATTTTGAAAGGAAGAGTGTGGGGGAAAGATACAGGTCTATAGAATGAATTAACAAACTGTTTGTTCTTCAGTCTCAACCAGGACAAGTAGCAGCAGCTGTGAAAAAGGCCATTGATGTGGGATATCGCCATTTTGACTGTGCTTACGTTTACCACAACGAAGATGAAATTGGCTGTGCAATCCAAGAGAAAATCAAGGAAGGGGTTGTAAAGCGTGAGGATCTTTTCATTGTCAGCAAGGTATTTTATCCTTATGTCTATTCTTACCCCTCCTCTTGTTATTAAATGGCCTATACAGGATTTCATGGAGCTTATATCTTTTTTATGCAATCCAAAATTATTCTCAAACTATATATTTGTAGTTTGGTGAGGCACCAGCCCTCTTTGAAAGAGAAAGCTGAAGACCTTGTAAAAGTATAACTTCTGTGGATCCATAACATTGAGGTCAAACTACATTAATTCTGCAGTGTAGATATATCCGGAGTCTTGTTGATTTCAAAATCAATTCAATGAAAAACTTGAATGAAAAATTAAACTGATAGGTTTTCTTGGAAAGTATTACTGCCAAAAAAATTCAAACATTTTAGACATTGTGTTGTCAAAGGCTTTCATGGCCGGAATCACTGGGTTGCTGTGAGTTTTCTGGGCTGTATGGCCATGTTCCAGAAGCATTCTCTCATGACGTTTCACCCACATCTGTGGCAGACATCCTCAGAGGTTGTGGGGTTTGTTGGAGACTAGGCAATTGGGGTTTATATATATATCTGTGGAATGTCCAGGATGGCAGAAAGAAATCTTGTCTGTTTGTGGCAAGTGTGAACGTTGCAATTGATCGCCTTGATTAGCATTGACTAGCCATGCAACTTCAAGGTTTGGCTGTTTCCTGCTAAACACCGTCTAAAAGTACAACTTCTGTGATTCCATAACACTACATTAATTCTGCAGTGTAGATGTATCCAAGGTCTTGTTGATTTTAAAATCAATTCAATTGACAGGAAACAGCCAAACCTTGAATCTGCAAGGCTATTCAATGCTAATCAAGGTGATCAATTGCAACATTCACACTTGCTTTAAGCAAACAATTCAATGAGTTCTTTTTTCCATCCTGGACTTTCCAGAGATATATAAACCCCACTTGCTTGTTTCCAACAAACCTCACAAACTTTGAGGATGCCTGCCATAGATGTGGGTGAAACGTCAGGAGAGAATGCTGCTGGAACATGGCCATACAGCCTGGAAAACCTACAGCAAACCAATTTAAGGCATTGGTCGAGAAGCAGGCAAGTAGTTGTGCTGGTAGCAGAAGCTGTTTTGGGATGTGATCGACATGCTTCTCATTTTAGGAATGAATGTACTTTCACCCTAAAACTAGGTGTATGAGCCTCTTAATGGATCTGCTGCTATCAAAGAGGACTGGCCAGTTCCTGTTCTTTTACAACATTGTTAGATCTGCTTAGATCAGGCTGGTAGGATTCAGGCTGTGTTTCTAGCTGCAATCCCCCGCCCCCGGATCCTCCAACCAGAATCCAGTGCAAGCACCAGCACTTAAAATCAAAGCAAGATGGAACACGGGCACTTGTTTTGAGTACCTAAGCTAAATATATCTCTCATTCTTTCAAAAATAAACAATATAATTTAGAACATGAGATGTCATTTTATTGTAGCTGTTGGTAGGAAACCAGGAACCAGAAAGCTTTGTTAAATCTTCTCCAGATCAGATAAAGAGAAGGTTATATCTAACATTTCCAAGATGTGAATTGGACCCGTAAGGAAGAACACAAACTAATCCAGAACAGACCAAAGGTTCAAAATAAGACAAATTACCTACAAGATCATTATTGAAAGTGGTGAGTTTACCAATCTCGTTTCTTGCAGCTTTGGAGCACATTCCATGAGAAAGAGCTGGTGAAGGGCGCCTGTAAGAAAACTCTTGCAGATCTGAAATTGGATTACCTGGACCTCTACGTAATTCACTGGCCTCAAGCGTTCAAGGTATTCTGAATTGATCTTTTTCAGTTTTTTTTTCCTGTGTCAAGAACTATGCCATCGCACCTGGTGCTGTAGCTCTTAGTGAAAGAGACATGGATGTGACATCTTTTTCTCAGGGAAAGGGGGGCAACCCCCTTGCCCTCCTTTAGGGAACTGGAACTCCCAAGGACCAGGACACAACAGATAACTCAAAATGGTATTTATTGTTGACAAAGAGTTATCTTTCTGGGGGATTAAACTTGATATTTCAAAAGGGACAAGGAAAAACGAAATACAAAGATACAGAATGGGGGATGCCTGGCTCGAGAGCAGTACGTGTGAAAAAGATCTTGGAGTCCTCGTGGACAACAAGTTAAACATGAGCCAACAATGTGATGTGGCGGCAAAAAAAGCCAATGGGATTTTGGCCTGCATCAATAGGAGCATAGTGTCTAGATCTAGGGAAGTAATGCTACCCCTCTATTCTGCTTTGGTTAGACCACACCTGGAATATTGTGTCCAATTCTGGGCACCACAATTCAAGCGAGATATTGACAAGCTGGAATGTGTCCAGAGAGGGCGACTAAAATGATCAAGGGTCTGGAGAACAAGCCCTATGAGGAGCGGCTTAAGGAGCTGGGCATGTTTAGCCTGAAGAAGAGAAGGCTGAGAGGAGATATGATAGCCATGTATAAATATGTGAGAGGAAGCCACAGTGAGGAGGGAGCAAGCTTGTTTTCTGCTTCCCTGGAGACTAGGACGCGGAACAATGGCTTCAAACTACAAGAGAGGAGATTCCATCTGAAGATTAGGAAGAACTTCCTGACTGTGAGAGCCGTTCAGCAGTGGAACTCTCTGCCCCGGAGTGTGGTGGAGGCTCCTTCTTTGGAAGCTTTTAAGCAGAGGCTGGATGGCCATCTGTCAGGGGTGATTTGAATGCAATATTCCTGCTTCTTGGCAGGGGGTTGGACTGGATGGCCCATGAGGTCTCTTCCAACTCTTTGATTCTATGATTCTATGAAATATACGTTACAGTCTCTGGAGTCCTGGGTCCAAGGAGTTTTGCAGCTGAGAGGCTTTCCCTGTTCCCTCTTTCCTCAATGGCTGTGAAAGTCGGAACAAACACAACCCCCAGTCCAATGGCCTATGTTGAAGGTACAGAGTCTTCCTTTTGATGCCAAAGGACCGGTTTGAGGGCACTTGGGTCTCCTCAACGACGTCCAGAGTGAACTGGGCATGAAGTATGAGTCCCAAGGGTAAAACCTGAGAATTGGTAATGAGATATAACTTATCCAAGGGCCTAGAAGACTTGATCCCCTCCTCTGTGGCAGATGTTTCAGTCTGTTGATTCCATCAGACCCATCTAGCATATCCAGTGGCAAAGGGTTGTGGTGATTTTATTTATTTATTTATTTATTTTTATTTATTTATTTTATCGTGTCGGGAGCAACTTGAGAAACTGCAAATCACATCTGGTGTGAGAGAATTGGCTGTCTGCAAGGACATTGCCCAGGGGACGCCCAGATGATTTGATGTTTTTATCATCCTTGTGGGAGGCTTCTCTCATGTCCCCGCATGAGGAGCTGGAGCTGATAGAGGGAGCTCATCCGCCTCTCCCCAGATTTGAACCTGCGACCTGTCATTCTTCAGTCCTAGTGGCACAGGGCTTTAACCCACTGCGCCACTGGGTGCTCACTTCTCTCTGGTGTGAATGAATTAGCAGACGGCCAATTCTCTCACAACAGAAGTGACTTGCAGTTTCTCAAGTTGCTCCTGACACGACAAAAAAAGTATAGTCCAAAATATCTAGCAAGCTAAAAATTCCCCACTCCTGAAACAGAAAAAAGCAATATTGATATTTTGCAGAATACATGTTATGGGTTTACGATAAAAAATCCCTGTGTCACAAACACAATATTTGTATAAGATAATACTTAAAATATGGGGACAAAGTGAAAAGTGTCAAAAGATCCTGAAATGTAATTAGCTAAATAACAACTGAAGGTTAAGATTAAATGTTCACTCCACAACCTTCATAGCTGCTTATGCATGAAACAAAGTTTGTTGTTTTGCTGTGAGTTTTCCGGCCTATATGGCCATGTTCTCCTGACGTTTCGGCCACATCTATGCTAGGTATCATCAGAGGTTGAGGGGTCTGTTGGAAGCTAGGCAAGTGAGGATTTTATATCTGTGGAATGACTAGGGTGGGAGGAAAACTCTTGTCTGCTTGAGGCAGGTGTGGATGTTGCAATTGGCCACTTTGATTAAGTTTGTTATATTTTATCTCTTGATGTCCAGTTTTGGAGACAGTTGAAGAACATTCAGCCAGCACACTCCTCAGCCAAGTCTTCCCGGCATTAACCAACCAAACAGTGGAAACGGTCACTGCAGACACATTGTTGGGCAATGGAAACAGCTGAAAATTAACCCACTTGCTTTCTTGCTTTACATTGACAGGCTGGAGATAATCTGTTTCCCACTGATGAAAAAGGTGTGATCATAAGCAGTAATGCAAATCCTCTAGAAACCTGGGAGGTATGTTTTGCAGCTAAGCATTTCTCTTTGTCCTGTATTCAGTCCTGCAAGCAGGTGTTTGGAGAAGGATAAGCAGCATGTTGCAGGGGAGGTTGTGGGTGGGATTGGGTGCTTTAAAATGCACTTTAATTGTATTTATTTATTGCAATTTAACTGTATTTTTAACCTCACATACAAAATACTGTTTAATTTTTTTATTATTTTTGTATTTGCTTTGTTTTAAATTGATCAAAATGTATGGCTGTTAGTTACCTTGAGTCCCCTTGGTGGGGCATAAAAGTAAACAACAACAACAACAATATGTTCGGTGAAGATTTTTGTATACCTTGCTTCTCTCTATTCATTGCAAGTGTTGCAGGTTCAAATATGTTTCTTTCTGATTTTTCCATTTGCTTATTTTGCTTCTTATTTTAATTTAATTTAATAAACCCCTGAAATGTAGATGACTGAGAGTATACTTCCCTTTTTTGAAGTCAATACACAGAGAAACTATCTAAACATGTATCTAAACATATTATTCAAAAATCCAGCTTAATAATAATATTTTTATTGATTAGTCTTTAGGCCATATCACAATACCAAACCAAACAACAAGGCTTGATAAGACTGGATTGCACTCTGTAAACAGGTTTAAAGGAATGAGAGGTCCCTTAACGCATGTGTGACAGGGGGGAAACCTTTCTATCCCACCGCTGCCACCAATGTAAGGGAGATTAAGGAACGAGAAGTCCCTTAATGCACCTGTGTGACAGGAATTTGCGTGAGGGAATAACTAATGATGTGAGAGACTGATGATACTGGTAGATTTTTGCGGCCACCACCTCAATTTTATTGTTTGAGGAAACAAAGGTGTGAATGTATTTGAGGCAATATACACCCAGGCTTCTGGTTCTTCTTTTTGGGCTCCTTTCTTGCTGACTGGACTATAAAAGAGAATTTTTAGGCTGACTTGGTTTCACTAAGTACGACAGACTGAGGCAGACACCAGTTAACGATGAACTAATAACAGGTTTATTGAACTTTAAGAAGATGACAACTCATAAAATGAGAGGTACACACGCGTATTTTGGTTACTGAYGCTTAGGCTTACTAGACATAACGTTTTTACAGACGGAGTAGCTTTTATTTGAAGTGAGTTCCCTTCTCCACACTATTCAACTCTTTGAAACAGTMTGTTTCTAAGCTCAGTCCCTCTGACTGTCTTACAGAGTAACTAGACTTTCTCCAGTCTACTCTCCACTATAGGGCAATAAGCCTTCTTGTATTATCTTCTAAATACAAGCTGACCAGTCTTCTCACTGACTCTCCTAGTACAGCTCTGCTGAAGCCTTTGTCCCTGTCTGTATTCCCTATCAGATCCACTCACTCAAAAGCTTCCTTCTCCCTGTCTAAAATACTTCTCTGTTGAAATCCTACTTCTCTCTGTCTCTGTTAGACCCTTCTCTCTSTGTGTTGGAATCCTTCTTTTTTTTTTCCCRCGTCAGAAGTGACAGCCTTTTTCTCTCTCACCCAACTCCTCCCCTTGGTGCTTAAACCAATCAGGAGTTGGCTGACTCCTCCCCTGCCTCCTTGCCTACCCCAAGATGTCAGCTATTTCTAAGCTGCCCTACCAAGATGGAGACCCAGCCCACTGACTCTCAGGCTTTGGCCTAGCCAGCAAAGGTTAGAATCTATTACACACTCTATGTAGTAAGTTAAAATAAGATACTTATAACAATACAGTAAATAAATATGATAAAACAGAATATATACATCGTATTTCCTTATCACCCCTACAACAACAACAAAAACCAACACCAAAAACAGGGTCAACTTACCCATGAGTCAATGTGAGATCCTATTAAAAATGAACCACCTCCTTCTCTGAGTAGAGTGATGAAAGGCAGAGCTTTGTCCATTCCAGGAGGACTTAAAAGAAGCACAAAATGCCTATACTCGCTCTTTCATGACCTTTTTGAATGCATGGGTGGAAAAATTGTGGTCTGAGACCACACTGGTGCTTTCCCCTCAATTTATCCTCAGGTCATATAAAAGTGGTGCAGTAGGTTGAACCGCTGAGTTGCTGAACTTAGAATCATAGAATCAAAGAGTTGGAAGAGTCCTCATGGGCCATCCAGTCCAACCCCCTGCCAAGAAGCAGGAATATTGCATTCAAATCACCCCTGACAGATGGCCAGACTTGCTGACCAAAAGGCTAGCAGTTCAAATCCAGGGAGAGAGGTGAGCTCCCGCTGTTAGCCCCAGTTTCTGCCAACCTAGCAATTCAAAAACATGCAAATGTGAGTAGATCAGTAGGTACCACTTCTGCGGGAAGGTAACGGCGCTCCATGCAGTCATGCCAGCCACATGACCTTGGAGGTGTCTACCAAAAACGGTGGCTCTTTGGCTTAGAAATGGAGATAAACACCAACCCCCAGAATCAGACATGACCAGACTTAATGTCAGGGGAAAACCTTGACCTTTACCTTACATATAAAATTATACTTTTGTGCATGTCCCCCCAAATCTGCCCTCAACTTATTCATAAATACATACAGTAACTCACTGGGAAAAGTGTTAGTTCCTCCATGAACCTTTTTTAAAACATAGGGAAACTCTAGAGGTAAAAAATGTAGCATCACCTTGTGGTTGAGCCTTCAGATGCTTCTCAGATCATCTCCCTTCAGGAGGAAGTATAGCCCATCAGAGAGAAAGGTAATGATAGTATGGTAGGGATTTCCTGTAACTCCCCTGCACCCACCCTCTCCTAACATCTTTCAGAATAGTATATTCCCAGTAAGAACTGTGCCATGTGATAATATCTGGCTTTTGGTGTGCCTTTAGGCAATGGAGGAACTGGTGGATGCTGGATTAGTAAAAGCCATTGGGGTTTCCAATTTCAACCATGAACAAATTGAGAGAATCCTGAAAAAACCTGGGTTGAAGCACAGGCCTGCAAATAATCAGGTAAGCATTGCAAACTGGAGGCATTTAGGGGATTGCGAAAGGGAGTGAATATTTTTTCAGTACAGGAATATTCATGCTATTGCTTTTAAGTTGATCCTAATTCATGGCAACCCTCCCCTAGGCTTTTCTTGACAAAATTTATTTACAGAAGATTTACCACTACCAGTTTGAGGTGGAGAGATTAGACAGGCCAGCAAAACTGAGAATCTTAATCATGTTTTAAATATATATGTGTTGGTTTTGTTGGAATTTGGCATGGTAAATCCAAAAATGACCTCAGTAATGAATTTATTATTAAAATCAGTAATGAAAAGCACCAAGATCTGGAGGACTTGGGTGCAGAAGAGGATAAAACATGTGTCAAACTATTGATATCTCTACATAATGCCACTGAATGTCTTTCCAACCATATTGATGATAGCCATCTGTGGATTACCCAAACTGGAGAAGAATCCAGTTCACTGAGTTACTTTTTGGGTGGAGCCTCTATGCTGCAAGCAAGCAGTTATAACTAGTTTAATTCCACAAAACCAAGTCAAAATAGAGGGGGGATCCTGTTCCCTTTATCAGCAGCCATAATTAATATCACTTGGTTGCAGGCCCGTAGCCGGGGGGGGGGGGCTTGAGGGGCTTCAGCCCCTCCCCCCAAAATTCTCAGGGTGGTCCACAAGAAGACCTTACTGGTACATTATTTAAACTGTTATGTTTATTCATATCATGATCTGATCACCATGCTCAATATATCCCTTATGCATGGGGGTATTGGGATAATGATACAAAAGGTTTGCTAGGGTAACCTTTCTAGACTCCCCCCCCCCCCCCCCGGAATCAAACTCAGCCCCCCCCCAAATCAACTCAGCCCCCCCCCCCGAATCAAAATCCTGGCTATGGGCCTGCTTAGTTGGTTGTATTCTGCAAGTCACTACCTTAATCAGTGGCTGATGCTGGATGAGAGACTCCCCCCTGAGCACATAGAAGATTGGGTGACTTGGAAGACGCTCAACAGGCTGCACTCTGGCACCACGAGATGCAGAGCCAGTCTTAAGAAATGGTGCTACAAAGTGCGGAGAAGAGCAAATCACAGACCACATACTACAATAGAGCCTGAGCCCTGCCACATGCACTATGGAGGACCTTCTTACAGCCACACCAGAGGCACTCCAAGTGGCCAGCTTCTGCTCAAAGGAAATCTAGTATAATGCCAAGTTTTTAACTTGGTTTGTGTGTGGTTTTTAAAAAAAATACATTATGACTATACCCTCAATTCGCTTCTGACACGATAAATAAATATATGTATCACTGTCAATTTGGAGGATTTAGTGCTAATTCAAGGACCTGTTGAAACACCACTTCTATGCTGCTTTTTTGTCTCTTGGCTCTGAGGATGTACTCCTAAGACAGTGGTGCTCAATCTTCCTAGTCCCATGACTCCTTAATACAGTTCCTCATGTTGCGGTGACCCCCAACCATAAAATTATTTTGTTGCTACTTTATAACTGTAATTTTGCAACTGTTATGAATCATAATGTAAACATCTGATATGCAGGGTGTATTTTAATTCACCAGACCAAATTTGGCACAAATACCCGATACACCCGAATTGGAATACTGGTGGGGTCAGAGGTGGCCCTAGGTAATTTTCAACGGTAAGCAAACAGTATTTTGGCACCCCCCCCCTCCCCAACCAATCACTGATATATATTTTCTGTTCATCGTGGGAGTTCTGTGTGCCATATTTGGTTCAATTCCATCATTGGTGGAGTTCTGAATGCTCTTTGATTATAGGTGAACTTTACATCCCAGTAACTACAACTCGCATATGTCAAGGTCTATTTTCCCCCAAGAGCGCCTCAAGAGTGCCCCTGGGCAAAATCAACTATACTGCAAATGGTTACTTTGCGTAATGGGTTGAGCCACCCCTGGGTGGGGTGGAGGGGGGGAATTGATATTGTCATTTGGGAGTTGTAGTTGCTGGGATTTATAGTTAACCTACAATCAAAGAGCATTCTAAACTCCACCAATGATTGAAATAATCCAAACTTGGCACACTGAACTCCCATGACAAGGAGAAAATACTGGAAGGATCTGGTGGGCATTGACCTTGAGTTCTGAAGTTGTAGCTCACCGACATCCAGAGACCACTCTGGACTCAAACAATGATGGATCTGGACCAAACTTGGCACAAATACTCAATATACCCAAATGTGAACACTGGTGGAATTTGAGGAAAATAGGCCTTGACATTTGGAAGTTGTAGTTGTTGGGATTTATAGTTCTCCAACAATCAAAGAGCATTGTGAAACCCACCAGTGATAGAATTGGGCCAAACTTCCCACACAGAACCCCTGTGAACAACCGAACATACTGTGTTTTCTGATGGTCTGTGATGACCCCTCTGACATCCCCTCTCGTGTCCCCCCCCCCAGGGGTCCTGACCCCCAGGTTGAGAAACGCTGTCCTAAAATGTTCTCCAAAATCCTAGCACCGCTCCTAACATATTTACCTCTGAGGCATTCCTGCTATGTTCATATGATACACTACTGATTTTTAAAATCAAACATTTGACTATTTGTAAGAAGTAATAGCTGTTAGTAAACAAATTAGGACATGAACTAAATTATGGTTGCCTATTTTTCCAGGTTGAATGTCACCCATATCTTATCCAGGAAAAGCTGATTAATTACTGTCATTCCAAAGGGATCACTATCACAGCATACAGTCCCTTTGGGTCTCCTGACAGACCATGGTGAGAAAAGTTGGGTAAACTTCCTCTCTTTTGTATCTAATGAAATGTGTCCTGGGTTCAGAACTCTGCAGAGTGGGCTTCTTAAGTGACCACATCAGCACAGGAAAACAGGTATTACAATGAGATTAAGGGATCACTAGTTTGACTGTATAAAGCTAATGTGACTTATGATAGCAGTGAGAGCACATGCACCTGCACATGGATTTTTATAACTGTGAACATTACAACTGCCCCATAAGGCAGGTTTTGGACCACATGGACTGTCCTTGTGGATCCCTTTGCTGAATTTGTTGTCACACCCCAATCATGGCAGCAAAAAGCTATATTCTGATTTTAAAACAAAGGGCTTGAGAAATGTGTCCCTTGACTTTAAGCAAAACCCAAACTCCTTGAATCATGTAAAACAAAACAAAAAAAGTTGCAACTTTCTTCAGGACAAGATCTGTGTATTTTGTCTTTAAAGAGAAAAGCAGTGTTTGGTTTTGGGTTGTTGTAGGTTTTTCGGGCTATGTGGCCATGTTCTAGAAGCATTCTCTCCTGACATTTTACCTGCATCTATGGCAAGCATTGTCAGAGGTTGTGCGGTTGTAGGTTTATCGGGCTATATGGCCATGTTCTTGAAGCATTCTCTCCTGACGTTTTGCCTGCATCTATGGCAAGCATCCTCAGAGATTGTGAGGTTGTAGGTTTACCAGGCTATATGGCCATGTTCTAGAAGCATTCTCTCCTGACATTTTGCCTGCATCTATGGCAAGTATCCTCAGAGGTTGTGAGGTCAGACCTCACAACCTCTGAGGATGCTTGCCATAGATGCAAGCGAAATGTCAGGAGAGAATGCTTCTAGAACATGGCCATATAGTCTGAAAAACCTACAAAAAAAACAGTGATTCTGGCCATGAAAGCCTTAGACAATACAGTGTTTTGTTTTGTTTTGTTTTATGGCTGTTGCCACTTTGCCAAATGTACACAACAGGGTATATTCATCTGGGATATACATGTTATTTCTGTTACAAAAGAGATGACCAGGGTGGTTTACAGGTACCGTGTGAGTTTATAGTAGAGATAACACATTGATCTGGGGCCAAGGGGGAATGACCCATTCATAAATTTCTCTTTAAACTGTGTAGGAGTTTCTTCTCTGGTCAGGCTAGCTATTGGAAATTATTGTGTTCCTCTTACATGCAAATTTCGTTATTTATCTTTTATTGCTTGTGTTTCCTAGGGCCAAGCCAGATGATCCATCTCTTCTGAATGATCCTAAGATCAAAGAGATTGCTGATAAGCACAATAAATCTGTAGCGCAGGTAAGTAGAGAGTTGTGTGAACATAAGTAGAGAAGATGCTGGGTTGGGGAAAAATAAAGTAGTGGTTCACAATTGAATAAAAAGCGTGCATGGGAGTAGAATTTCTTTTCCAAAATTGTTGTTGAAATTATATAGCTGCCAGTCGGCACATTTTCTCCAGGTGCCTTTGCCAAAAGAAAAATATATTTTTTCTCTTGGCAAAGCAATAAAGTGCAGCAGCAACAACAAAACTGCCCTTCCTTTCTGAAAGGAAAAAATAAAATGTCCTAGTAGCTCAACTCAGTAAATACAATTTATACTGAGCTTGTATTCTATTTGTTTAATAAGTGAAGGTTGTTGAAAAGGCCTATTTGAGTAAAGAAACTCATAAGAGAAAAGTAAATAAAGGTGCCACTTCAAATGTTTGCAGGTGTATATAGTGTACTGGTCTGTACCCACAAAGGAGAGCTGAACAAAAGGGAGAGGAGACTGGGATAGATGTAACTAAGGCATGGGTCACCATGGCCAAGTCAGGCTTTTTGAGTTCATCCTAGATAATCTGTGCTGAATGAAAAAGGTTCCGGTCTTGGAATGTTAAATTAAAAAGACTATGTGATAAAGGATGGGCATTTTTACTTGATGTTATCGTCCGTTTTTGTATGTGTTTTATTTTATTTTGCCTTATTGTAATTGCTTGGGCTCGGCCCCGTGTTAACCGCCCCAAGTCCCTTCGGGGAGATGGTGGCGGGGTACAAATAAAGTTGTTGTTGTTGGTGGTGGTGGTGGTGTTATTTATGAAGTCCTTTCTCTGTCTGAGGCCTGTGACAGGCAAAGTAGTAATAGTACTGTTGGGTATGGCTCGCAGCAGCCCAAAACATATTTTTTTTGCACCAAGTTCCCTATTATATAAATATTATTGCCTCATTGAACTAAAAAGATAAAGAAATTATCACTGCAGTCTCAGAGGGTTATAAATAATAAAATAAAATTTTATACCCTGCCACCATTTCTCTTAGGGGGGAGCCTCCAGTGGCGCAGTGGGTTAAAGCCCTGTGCTGGCAGGACTGAAGACCGGGAGAGGCGGATGAGCTCCCTCTATAGGCTCCAGCTCCTCATGCGGGGACAAGAGAGAAGCCTCCCACAAGGATGGCAAAACATCAAAAAATCATCCGGGCGTCCCCTGGGCAACGTCCTTGCAAACGGCCAATTCTCTCACAACAAGAGCGGTTGCTCCTGACACAACCAAATTTCCCATAGGGACTCGGGGTGGCTTACAGAATAGCACACAAAGATGCCATACATAAAATACATAATGCATAAAATAAAATACATCACATGAAAACAATACATTACATAAACTAGGTATATAAATTGGATACAACAACTTCTATTAATTTTTTTTGTGGTGTCAGGAGCGACTTGAGAAACTGCAAGTCGTTTCTGGTGTGAGAGAATTGGCCATCTGCAAGGACGTTGCCCAGGGGACGCCCGGATGAATTGATGTTTTTATCATCCTTGTGGGAGGCTTCTCTCATGTCCCCGCATGAGGAGCTGGAGCTGATAGAAGGAGCTCATCCACCTCTCCCCGGATTCGAACCTGCGACCTGTCAGTCTTCAGTCCTGCTGGCACAGGGGTTTAACCCCCTGCGCCACCGGGGGCTCCTTCTATTAAATTTCTATTAAAATAGAATCAGTTCAAAGAGCCATGTAATCAATATAGCAGCCCAGCTGCTATATTGTTGTTATTTCTGTTATTGCTTTAATGTTTTGATTTGCTTTAAGTTGTGTATTTGTTATGCTATTGTTGTATTGAGGCCTTGGCCTTGTAAGCCACATCGAGTCCTTCGGGAGATGCTAGCGGGTACAAATAAAGTTAATAATAATAATAATAATAATAATGCACAGGATGTAGATATAAAGTGCTAAGTGATTGGCAATCAGTTCTGGTCACTGTCTAAACATTATCAAATGCCTGCTAGAAAAAAAACAAGTTTTTAACTCTTTCCTAAAGTGTTGTAGTGTAAGGGCTTGTCTAAGTTCACTGGGGAGGGTGTTCCAAAGCTGGGGGCCACGACCTAGAAGGCCCTCTCCCTCATCCCCACCAACTGCACTTGAGATGGAGGCAGGACTGAGAGGAGGGCCTCTCCAACAGATCTTAGAGCCCACACCGATTCATAGGGGGAGATGCGGTCACGAAAATTGGCTGGACCCAAACCATGTAGGGCTTCATTATAGGTGATAACCTGCATTTTGAATCGGGACTGGAAATTTATCGGAAGCCAGTGGAGCTTCTCTACCTATTATTGGACAGCAACTCCCAGCAGTCTTCCTGATCGATCTACCTACCTACCTACCTACCTACCTATCTCTATCTAATCTATCTATCTGGAGGATTGCAGTCCAGGAATACGAAATTGGAAATATGCAGGGATTGGGATGCTCTCAGAGAGATCCAAGGAGAAGAAAGCTTGCATCTTGGAAGCAGTGCATTTGGATCATCCTCCTCTCCTAAAGGGCCTGATCTAGGGGATGCTGGGAGCCGTAGTCTGGAAGAAAGTGTGGATATGCTATTGTATGTTTTGTTTGCCAGGAGAATTGTTTTTGCGCATACATTGTAGCATCTTTTTGCTTTTTTGGGCTTTTAAGTCCCTTCTGCTATGTTTTTCAGTGTTTGTATGAGTGATGGTCACTCGTTGGCCTGATAGGTGTATTGTGTCCAAATTTGGTGTCATTCATCAGTGGTTTTTGAGTTAGATTAATCCCACAAATGAACATTACAGTTTTATTTATATAGATGAGATTTCTCTTTGTTTGGTGTTATCTTTAGGTTCTGCTCCGATTTCAAATCCAAAGAAATGTAGTCGTGATTCCCAAATCTGTCACCGCTTCACGAATTGAGGAAAATTTCAAGGTAAGAGAATGCAACGTTCTGTGAATGTTGCATTCCCTCTCGGAAGATGTATTGGAAGATATATTGGAAGGCCAGTAATTCTCTACCCATGCCAACTGGGGATAATGGGTGATTACATCTAACATTGCTTACCTTAGAAGGTAAGAACCTCTGCCCAATAGGGAACTTTTCACTTGTCAATGCATCTGTGTCTCTTCCCTACAATATAAAAACTAGGAGGGACGAGATAGTAATAAAATTCATTTGGGAAACCTGCAACCCTTCCATATTTCTTCAATGCTTCCACCCTCTTTTCCACCTTCTGCTCTCTCTCTCTTACTCGCTCAATGTCTAGTTTGAGAAACATCCATCACTCTTGATAACACAAATCTTCAGCATTTGCTTCTCGCCTGTGGTTGGATCAGAGAAAAATTGCAAAGTCATTCAGGACAAACCAGAATCCTTTTACTGTTTGTTGGGCAATGGGACAAGCAAAAACCTGTCCTAATCCCCAGTGATCCTGCTGCTGCTGAAATCACAATATTATCTTTGGAGAGCTCTACCTCACAGATCACTTGCTTTCAACAGATAATGAAGAGGGGATGACACCATTGTTGTAAGCAGTACAGTCGAATAGCAGTACAGTCGAATAACTTAAAAGGCACAACCTAAGACACATTTTGTGCAGAACACAACTGCCATCTGCCAGGTTTTGCTATGACTCACTTGTCAGGATCATATCAAATACAATTTGGCATTCTGGGTAAATAGTTCAAATAGTGTCAGTGTAATGTGCTGTGAATTTGGTGGAAACTCCCTGAGCTGCTGCTTTACTAGAGAAACAAAAATAACATATCAATATGTCTTTCTCAAGCTTTCAAACTATTGTTGCCAGATAGAGTGGGTTGTGTTTTTTTGTTGTTCATTCGTTCAGTCCTTTCCAACTCTTTGTGACCTCATGGGCCAGCCCATTCCAGAGCTCCCTGTCAGTCGTCACCACCCCCAGCTCCTTCAAGGTCAATCCAGTCACTTCAAGGATACCATCCATCCATCTTGCCCTTGGTCGGCCCCTCTTCCTTTTTCCTTCCATTTTCCCCAGCATCATTGTCTTCTCTAAGCTTTCCTTTCTTCTCATGATGTGTTTAGTGTTGTTCTTTTCAAGGGAATGTGCACCAAAAGGAGCGCATAAGTGACACAAATGTCCACATTCTCCATAATTTAATTGGACTTGATGTTACAAAAATTAAGTGGGTACAAGAAGGAATAAATTTTTTGAACAAAATTAGTCTTGGTGTATTGGCCATGGTGTCTCTCAGCCCTAATTGTCTTGTAGCTTTTTTCCCCCATGTCAGGACCGACTTGAGTAACTGAAAGTCGCTCCTGGTGTGACAGAATTAGCCACCTGCCAGGACGTTGCCCAGGAGATGCCTGAATGTTTTACCATCCTTGTGGGAGGCTTCTCTCATGTCCCCACATGGGGAGCTGGAGCTTACAGAGGGAGCTCATCTACGCTCCGCCCGGATTCAAACATCCAACTTATCAGTCTTCAGTCTTGCCGGCACAAGGGTTTGACCCATTGCTCCACCGGGTCTTGTAGCTACAATTTCAGTGAAAAATGAGATGTTTTCAACGTTCAGCTTGCTGGATGTATCTAATGGGATTTCTCTCCATCCTCACCAAGTAGAAACTTAAAACTGCAGACCTCCCACCTCTACTATAACACTTCATTGGATCTCAAAAGGACTACTAGTTTCCATTATTTTTTAATTTTTACTTATAAACATCTTTTTCCTTCTTTTTTCCCCAATATCTTAGTACATGCACTTGAGCCATTCATTGCTTTGCATCTGACCTACTTCACAAAATGTCAGGGAGATAAATAGGAATAACTCCTCTATGTATGCTACACTGACCTGTTTTTGGAGTGGGTGGGGGAGGGAATCCATGTTTAAAATGTATCTTTGCAACTCTTGTGACACTTTGGGTCTTTTTTGTCATTGTCAAATCTCTTTATCCCTTTTGCCAGGTGTTTGACTTTCAGTTGTCAGAGCAAGAAATGAAAACCATCCTTGGTTTTAACAGGAACTGGAGAGCGTGCACAATTGAAGGGTAAGGAACAGCATTTGAAAAAACATCTAAAAGTAAACCAGAAATATGTGTGTCATTGAGATTAATATAGAATACTACTTCAGTAACTGGGACTGTCAAAGCAGAGGAATCCCACCTCTTCTTCCACCTCCTGGAGGTGACATGTGACCCTAGCGACATCACTGATTTATGACATAATGTAAAATAAACCACATGTAGTTCATGTTTGATCAGCTCGCACACTGTCTTGCCAGAGAAAGAGAATATGACATGCAGATGAGCAATAAAGAACAAGTAGTTTGCTCTTTGCAGTTCAGAACAACATATGTACAAGGTGATCAGTTGCATCAATTCACATAATGTCCTTTTATGAGAGATTTAAAATAGTATTTCTCTTGTCCCTGTGGATGAACTCCCTCCAGCAGCTTATGAAGCAAGAGTACACTCCAAACTGTCTCGCTCTCTTCTCTCTTCAAACTGTCTCTCTCTGCACTTGCTCAAGCATGAACAAAAATGTAACAGTATCCAAAAGTCCCAGTCCCAGTCTCAGCCATCTCCCCGGGCATTGCCCGACCAATCAGCTTCATGTATCTTATGTGCCTTCCCAGAATAAGGAAACTCCCAGCAATATGTCCCTAATTGCACCTTATTAGTGATCTAGAACTGTCTGTACACCCCATTCTTTTCCAAAATTCTATCCTAGTTATATTTCACCTGGTCTTTTCCAGCATTATTTTTAAATTTTAACTATTACATTTGGCCCAGCCATTAGTTTTTAAATGTTATTGTGTTATTGTTGATGTTTACTGCCTATTTTTTGTTTATGAGTTTTATTTTATTGTTTTGTATTACTGCTGTTGTTGTTTTTGCTGATGTACTGTGGGCTCGGCCTCATGTAAGCCGCACCAAGTCCCTTGGGGAGATGGTAGCGGGGTATAAATAAAGTTTTATTATTATTATATTATTCTGCAGTTGGCGCACACACACTCACTGATTCCTTAGATGCTCCAACATGATTTACATAAATCAACAAAAGTTCTGGAGTCAATTTTTTAACCAATATATGATTATATATGATAAAATGCCTGAGTGGATGCATAGAGCTTCACCTTATTCCAAAAATCCAACAATATAGAAAACAAGCTATTTGCATATGTATATTTAGCAGTTTTACTGCCTCTCTGCCTCCCACTTCCATGCTTGAAGGAAATGTTATATATCCTGCTATATCAACAGTGATTCAACAACGTTGAGATGGAAATGTTTGCCTAATGATAGAAAGTTTTTTACCTTTGGTTAGAAACAACTAAAACAACTATCAATGGAAGGATGACTTTTGGATTTCTTTTTCTTTTGGGGACTTATTGTTGGCACTCTGCATGGTCCAGGGAGAAAACCTATCTAAGCCACAACTGAAACTCATTATTCTGGTTTTACCCAGTTTCCAAAACAAACATGAGCATAAATGCAGTTTGATTCTTGCTTCTGATGAACACTTTCTTTCTCTAGATGCACCAGTCTCCCGGATTTTCCTTTCAATGCTGAATATTAAAGCCTGAATATCCAGAAAGTCTTCAAACCATAGAGTAAACAGTGTCTGGGTTTTTCTAGCCCAGATTTAGTATGTTATTTGAGAACTGCTGTGATCCTTTGATTCTTTGAAATGGTTTTATATTATCCTGCTTTTCTTAATTTTTTTATTTTTGTAAAGTAAAACAATACATTTATAATACAGCAGACATATACTATCCAAAGCGCTTAATTCCCCCCCCCCATTAATATAATTATATCCACTGTAAATTTTACTCTTACTCTTATATATATGTTTCTATCATTATCCTGCTTTTTGAATGAAATTACTTCTAATAAAATATATACGTACTATTGCATTTTTGTTTCTGTTTTAGTAGGGAAAACGTTCTAAAAATCAAGATCTGCATTTTCAAACAATTTTAGAACATAATCAAACACAACGTTTATTTGGCTCTCATTAGAATAATACGAAGAAGAGAGGAACATTTTAAGCTTGAGGTATCTATTTGCTTTGTTTGGAGTTTTTTTCAATTTATTTTTATTTATTGTTTCAGAGGCGGCTTGAGAATACAGTGTTTTAAAAAAACACAAAGTTAAAAGCTTGACATTATACTAGATTTCCTTTGACCAGAAGCTGGCCACTTGGAGTGCCTCTGGTGTTTCTGAGAGAAGGTCCTCCATTGTGCATGTGGCAGGGCTCAGGCTGTATTGTAGCAAGTGGTCTATGGCTTGCTCTTCCCACATTCCATGTCGTGGAGTCCACTTTGTGGCCCCATTTCTTAAGACTGGCTCTGTATCTTGTGGTGCCAGAGTGCAGTCTGTTCAGTGCCTTCCAAGTCACCCAGTCTTCTGTGTGCCCAGGAGGGAGTTTCTCACCCGGTATCAGACATGGTTTCGCGTTTTAGTCTGCCACTTTTGGACTCTCTCTTGCTGAGATGTTCCTGCGAGTATCTCTGTAGATCATAGAAAGCAGTTTCTTGATTTAAGGCATTGACATGCTGGCTGATATCTGATCAGAGGATGGGCCGGAGATGTCACTGCCTTGGTCCTTTCATTAAAGGCTGCTACTTCAAGACACATGTCAGGTAATACAATACCGGCTAAACAGTATAATTTCTCCAGCAGTGTAGGGCGTAGACATCCTGTGATAATGCGGCATGTCTCATTAAGACCCACATCTGCTGTTTTAACGCAATGAGATGTATTCCATACTGGGCATATGTATTCAGTAGCAGAGTAGCAAAGCACAAGGGCAGATGTCTTCATTGTGTCTGGTTGTAATCCCGAGGTTGTGCCAGTCAGCTTTCGTATGATATTATTTCTAGCACCCACTTTTCACCAATTAGACTCAAATGAAAAAGGTTTAGGAAAGAAGGAGCAGGATGTAAATGAATATATGCAGAAAGGGACAGAGCCCGTTATCTACTTTAAGTCCTGATCCATAGATTCTAGGATAACTTGCATATGTATTAGCTACACTGAAAGTGTCCAAATCGTGCGAAGACAATCAAAGATAACTAATGGCTTGGCAAAATAAGCTACACAGAGATATTATTGAAAGTAGTTACTTGGAGAGGATGGGAATATGTCTGCATTACACAATTACATCAGTGTCATACCATAATAATTCCAAAACAATTCTAAGAATTATTTATTTACAGTATTTGTATACCGCTTTTCTCACTCCAAGGGGGACTCAAAGCAGTTACCTGTGCTAAGCAAATTAGTCAAGAAATCAGTTGACAATTATGGCAACTTGTCACAACTCCAAGGTTTTGTTATTTGTTTCATCAATAAAACATATTTTCTCTTATTAACCCATGATATCACACAAGATATTATGACTTCCCATGACTTAGAAACTAGACCATTACCTGATATATAAGGCTTCCTTTCTCTTTTCCTAAGGCAGCTTTACTCGGTTCTCTTTGTCACAATTTTGAGCAAACAAGCTACTTTAAGAGACACAAAGAAATTGTACTAATGCCGCTTTTTCATCTGAGCCTATGATTATTTATTTTCTACTTCTTGAGATTCTTGGTTGACTTGCAAGTCTCAACAGAAAGAGGCAACAAAGGGAGTGGTTGTGTGAGAGAGAAATGAACAGGATTAAATTCAAATGCAAGAAGAGGCAAGACACATTGCCTTGAATATTCTTAATCCCAGTTAAAATAGACACATTGAAATCTCTTTCACAATATGTAGTTGTATAACGTTAGAACAAATTGAACTGTCTTGACTGCATCATGTAACATCCTGAGATTTGTAACTGGATGAGGCGCTAGAACACTCTGCCAGAGAATTAAAAAAAACCAGTTTTATTCCATAGGGTTAAAATGTCCATGCAGGGTTGAGGAGTAGATAATGTAATAAGACTCTGTGCGCATTCAGAAGAAGACCTACAAGCCACTCTAAACACCTTTGCAGAAGCATACGAGAAGCTCGGCCTGTCATTAAACATTGAGAAAACCAAAGTGCTCTTCCAGCAGGCACCAGCCAATCCCTCTCCAATGCCAGAAATACAGCTTAATGGTGCAACATTAGAAAATGTTGACAATTTCCGCTGCCTTGGCAGCCACCTCTACACCAAAGTCAAAACTGACACTGAAATACAACACCATCTGAGCTCTGCGAGTACATTTTTCCGAATGAAACAGAGAGTGTTTGAAGATCGGGACATCTGTAGAGATACCAAGGTGCTTGTTTATAAAGCTATTGTCCTCCCAAACCTGCTATATGCCTGCAAAACGTGGACTATCTACAGACATCACATGCAACTCCTAGAACGATTCCATCAGCGATGCCTTCGAAAAATCCTGCAAATCTGTTGGGAAGACAGGCGGACAAATGTCAACGTGCTGGAAGTAGCAAAGACCACCAGCATTGAAGAAATAGTCCTCCGTCATGAACTCCACTGGTCTGGCCATGTTGTCCAAATGCCCAATCACTGTCTCCCAAAACAGTTACTCTACTCCGAACTCAAGAACAGAAAACAAAATGTTGGAGGACACACAAAGAAATTTAAAGATGGACTAAAGTAAATAAGTAAGAGTCTATAGAAAGACAAACTATCATCCTGCACACATTTTATCTCTACTCAAGGTTGCAGTATACAAAACTCAAGCATTCAGGCATATACAAGACACAGTGGCTAAAACTTTGATTAATCCCTTCTTTAGGTCATCTAACATTCATAAAAGAGACTGCTGCCAGGTAGACCCATAGTATTGCTTTCTAGGGATTAATCTACACTGTTGAATTAATGCAGTTTGATTCCACTTTAACTGCCGTAGTTCAATGCTATGTTACAATGTGGGAGTTGTAGTTTGGTGAGACACCAGAACTATTCACCGGGGAAGGTCAAATAACTGGTAAAACTACAACTCCCAGCATTTCATAGCACTAAGTCATGGCAGTTGAAGTGGTGTCAAATTGCAATAATTTGACACCACTTCAACTGCCATGACATAGTGCTATGAAATGCTGGGAGTTGTAGTTTCATAATTCATAATTTTGCATATTTCTTTTATGTTTTATGTCCAAATGTTGTTTTATGTTTTAATATGGTTAGGTTTTTAATTTATAGTTATGGTATATGTTATTGTCTAGCATATGTTAAATCCCTATATACCAATATATCTCATGAAAAGATGAAAACAACAGATGCAAAATATCTTAAACCTACAAAACAGCAGCTCCACACACCCACTTCTGTTTTGCTAGATCATCTGGACATCATATTAGACAAGAATTTATTTGGAGCTGAAGAACAATTTTATATTCAAATATAAGGTGTGGCCATAAGAAGTAATAAAGAAGGAAAGCCTATATATACCTCTAACTATGTACAGTTGTCTGTCTTGTCCGTGTATAACGGCACTGAATATTTGCCGTATATGTGTTCTGTGATCCGCTTTGAGTCCCCTTTGGGGTGAGAAGGGCAGAATATAAATACTGTAGATAGATAAATAAATAAACAATATAGCCCTCGTTATAGTTAATCAAATACATCTTTGTATATTGATGGTATACAGATAATATATTCCTAATTTTAAAAAAGAGTGATGGACTCTCAGATTTTCTTGATTGCATTATTAGCTTATACACCACCTTTCAGTCTACCAGTAATTAATATGAAACACCTTAGCGTGGTAGTTAAAGTGATATCAGAGTGCTAGGGCTGTGTAGCTGAAAAAGATCTGAATCGGTTGTGGAATTGAGAGTCAAGGCATAGGTAAACCTAACAGATTCAATTGATCTACTCTAATTGGGGCTGGAAAGAGAGTTCAGACCCCAGTTTCATTAACTATATATTTGTTTATTTATTGCATTTATATACTGTTTTTCTCACCCCTGGGAGGACTCAAAGCAGTTCACAACATAATCAATGGCAAAATTTAATGTCACTTGAATGCCACTGTGTTGTGGCTGATCAAAATTAAACTTGTTGACTGACTGTAGAGTAGCCAAAGTGTATTGATTCTGATGGCAAGGTGGCCTTATTGCCATTTCCTCCAAACCATCCAGCAAAAGCAGGCAGTGGCTGGAAGGCAAGCAGCATTGCAGTCATAAAGCACAGAACCTCCTTTCTAAACTTAGGTTGGCTCTACGGTGTAGAATTAATGCAGTTTGATACCTCTTGAACTGCCATGGTTCAATGCTATGGAATCCTGGGAGTTGTGGTTTGGTGATACACCAGCACTCTTTGATTGACAAGGGACAGACCTCGGACTATGACTTTGGATGTGGATTCGGGTCTTGGATTTGTTAACTTTTAAATGAATGTTTTTAATGTATTGTTTAGTTAATGTTTTAATTGTGATTTCATTGCTATGGTTTGTGTGGTGTCTAATGATTGCCGGTTATAAGCTGCTCTGAGTCCCCCTTCGGGGGTGAGAAGGGTGGGATATAAATGTCTGAAATAAAATAAATATAGAGAAGACCTTGCAAAACGAAAATTCCTGTGCTTCCATAGCATTGTGGTTTGATGAGGCACCAGCACTCTTTGACATAGAGAAGACCTTGTAAAACTACAATAATTTTATGGTTGGGGGTCACCACAACATGATGAACTGTATTAAGGGATCGTGGCATTAGGAAGGTTGAGTACCACTGATCTATTTGCTATTCTTCACCAATTTATGAAGGAATTGCTCAGTATTCATTTCATGGTTGTTGGAATGGGGAATCAACTTTAAAAATGCCATCTGTTAAGCCTGGAGCTATCAGAGTAAAGAACATTAGATGCATTCTTGTCCTTAGCAATTCTGCATGCCAAAATAATTGACTTAGCTTTGCTCGTAAAATGACAAAACAGTGCTGCTTTGTCCCAAAATGACTGTATACTGATAGA